ATACATACATACATACATACATACATACATACATACATACATACATACATACATATATTGTGCCGCCCTTTCTCGTGTCCACCGAGGCCGTTTGAGAGAGATGAGTATTCGTGAGGGGATTTGTTACCTGTAATTAAGGAATCAGTTGCATGTACCTTCGTCCAACTTCCAACTTCCAACGTTTTCATCAATGATGTGGATGTCGAAGTCTTGTTTTGGTGTTCTACTCAACGAGACAAGAAGCATAATAGGCGCTTGGTGCTATCGTGATCCTTAATGAACGCGAATAAGCTGATCAAAAGCTCCTCGTCAACTGACGTCCTGCAACATTTCTTCATCTGAGGTCCCTGTACTACGGGCACTATTTCAACTCTTTAATTGTACACAGACATCCAGGTCTCCGCAACGCCCTGGAGTGACAGATCTTTGTGTCCTAGAGAACAAATCGAAGTCCACCTGAAATGGAACTTAGGAAGGGGGTTTTTTTTCGTGGTTGTTTTTTGTTTTTGTTTTGTTTTGTTTTGTTTTGTTTGCTTTTGTTGGTTTGGTGTTTGTTTGTTTGTGGGTTGTTGTTGTTTTTTTGTTGTTGTTTTTGTTGTTGTTGTTGTTTGTTTTGGGTTTTTTTTTGGGGGGGGGGGGGTAATTTCGTAGCACACTTTGCAACAAAGTCCCCGCTGAGATACTAGATTTGACGCTCAAAAAGAGTTGACTCAAGAGAATGGAGAGCTGTTGTTAGAAACACCCCATTCTCGCACAAAACATTGACCATGAGAAGGATGCCTCTAAAAACTGTGCTCTTGCTTCCTCGGGTCATCATGCTGCTCTTACAGAGTAAGGACGCGGCATCAGGCCCAGGATCTGGGAGCGACAAAACTTCTGTCTCTAAGACGAAAAATGTCTCAACAACGCAAAGCAGCGCTAAGCCATAGCAACAGACGCCAGTGAGTAGTTGGCGGGCACTCAGGTGTGGTTTCTCCGGTGTTCCTGTCAAACAATCATCGTCCTTACCTTCCCTCCTCTTTTGTGCTTGTTACTCTCTTATAACACCTCCAATCTTCGGCCCTTTTATGACCTAATGGTGTTGCAAGTGCAGTAAAACTCTTACTGAAACTAAAACAACAGATGCCAATACGCCAGTAGCTCCGGGGGGGGGGGCATCCACAGCTTTAAGCACTGCTGTAGGCATCCCAGCTACATCGTACAGCATACTTACACCAACCCAGCAGACGCCTACAAAACTAACGTACAATACTTTCCCTTTCCATAAGACAAGGAGATGTGCATCCCAGCGATTATCCTCCTCTCAACCTTTTTACCACTACACCCACAAGAGCCATAAGGTTTATAGTGAATTAAGCAGCATGGGAGCCAAAATGTCATGCTAACGGCGGGTTCAGAGTTTTAACTCACAGTTCCAAGGATCCCAATAGAAAGAAAAAAATCGGGCAACGGTGAACACGACGTCAGAGATAGGTTGTGATTGTTGGAGGACGGTCTAGACTTGATGGTGAATCAGACTCGCTGAAACCTCATTGTCCACGGATATTACAACCTCTTACCCCGAAATATGGGAGGGCTGTGAGACAGAAGACAGAAGAAAAGCCACCCATAGAGCCATCTCGGATTCATTTAGAAAAAGTGTGCTAGGAGGCAAAAACGTATTTTAGCTTATAAAAGTTACGTTTCCTAGCTTCGAACATCACTCAGAGTTATTCCATGAGAAGATATATCTCCGTGTCAAGAGCATTTGCAACAATGGAGATTTCTCCAGCCATGGAAGCTGAACATTAAAAGGACACTTTGGGACTTCGCAAAAGAATATTGGAAGAGTGGTAAAAGGTTGCTGTGTTTAATATTCGATCATACATTTAAAGAAGGACAAAGGTATGTCTCGACAAGAATCCAAAAGTCATCTGTCTGACTCTCCCATATACACCAACTTAGTGATCGGCGACCGGAAGAACACTACGAGTACTACCTCTAAAAACTATTTTGAATGTTAATTCTAACATGAAATTTGAATCATGGCGTGGAACGTTAAAGTTTCTCAATCAAACTATCAAATCTGTTCTTTCACTAGTTTCTACCAACGGCTTGATGTTCTTGATGTTTTTACTTTGTCAGAAATTCACCATTGTAGTGTCGAAAGTTTCAGTTCCGCTTTCACGGCATTTCGTTACGTCGCCTGTCGTCAAACCAGCAGGATGTAATGTGGCAGTGTTGGTAAGGCAAGTAAGTTCATATTCAATACACAATGTCCCTTATTGTGTTCGTGGGTGTATTGCATTGGCACAAAGATGGAACTATTGCTTGTATGGTAAACCGTGTTAAGACACTGCGTATTACTATTCTATAGCGGCACATATCCCCCCCCCCCATCAAAGAAATAAACCTTAACGTCTATACACACCGGAACACACCGGTACAGATTCGTATCATTCCCCTATATGTGCCATACATTCTATGCAAGAAACCAGTGCAGGGAAGTGCTCAGATGGATCAACAAAACCCAACGACGTAAATGAATTATTGTTGCACAACGTCTAAATCAGTCATATGTAACAACCTTGGAGGTAAGTCCGGGTGAAATCGTGACTTACTCCTAACACGATTTAAAAAGTGATGTAAAAAAATGGGGGCAACGTTCGTCTACTGACAAAGTATTCTGAATTGAGCGGTACCATCCAAGACAGTGGGGCATAGAACGTGACGAAGCAAAAAATGTTTAAACTACTGCCTCGATCGTTTAGGCCAGAGCAACACGTCCTCAAAAGACCTAGAACATTATTTCACAGTATATTCAAGCCAGTGTATCAAACAAACACACGTTACACATTTCGGTTTGCCTAAATGAAAATTTCAGCCATCTATGCAAAAGTATAGAGAGATTCAAAGACACCTTGGAAAATTGCTTGAAGTGTCATAGAAGGCTCTACCCCCAGCCCACATCAGAAAGTGCCAAAATTTTACTAACAGCAAGTGTACTGGAGAATTAATTATGTTTGCAAAGTCTGTAAACATCGTTTTAAATCTACAAGACAGGCATTTGGCTTTATAATTTGATGTTTTCCTGACTCTCTGTCCTGATAATACATTTCAGCATGACTCAACAGAGTTGTGACATAGAAATAAATACATATATTGCAAAGGCTTTCTAGCGTGCGCCTCAAACGAAAAAGTGCTTATTTTTGACAGCGAGAGAGAAGGGGGTTAGGTTTGGCAAATAGACAGGATTAAAAGTGTGTTCATGTAAGCACACACACCCAAAGTACGCTTAAAGATTAAAAAAAGGAACGTTACCTTTAAATAATCAAATTTGAATTGAAATGAGCGAAACTTACACACAAATAGCCTTTTTCTGTACAAAAAGAAAGACGTAGGAACTCAAAAAAGCAGGGGGGAAAAAGCAAAAGGCTAGGCCGTCAACCTAGATAGCACCCATCACAAACAAATCAAATTAATTACCCTTTATCTACACCATTTCACGGACACTTCCACAATCAGCTGGAAAAATTATGCTGTGTCTCAATAATATTCTTCTACAGCAGACCAATGTTCTTAAAAAAGAAAAACGACTTGAACTAGTGTCCAGACTTTTCTGAAAGATATAAATAGAGCCAAAGCAGGATCTCAGCGTTACTCAAGTTCGGAGCTTGAGCTGGCATTGCGTTATGAGGTAATGGTTGTTGGATATTTTAACTTGTGTAAAGATCATGAAGAGAGTTAGTTTTTATTTTACGAGCTCTCTCTCTCTCTCTCTCTCTCTCTCTCTCTCTCTCTCTCTCTCTCTCTCTCTCTCTCTCTCTCTCTCTCTCTTTTTTGCTTTCGTTCAATTATGCTTTCATTAATCGTCGTTTTGTTTGAAGACGAGTTCCTACCAGAAAGTGTGGTATCAAGTACTCTTTTTTCAAATACTTTATGTTGTATCTAATAGGACGTTTTACTTTAAAAACTACGACGACGACGACTGAAAAACAACAATAATTACAACAACATCACCACCAACAACAACAACAACAACAACAACAACAACAACAACAACAACAACAACAGTATATTATAACAAACCACGAATATCTCCGCTTTGCAGGTGTTTAGAAGACACACTTGAAGTATTGTTGGAAATGTGTACAAAACAAGTAATTGATTGTTCCCACCCTTACCAGATTGTTTGGGCTGCCATTATCATCACTGTTAGTGTACCGCTGTCTGTCCGATAGTGGTTAAGCACTTTGCTGTCGCATGCAGGAGATCCGAGTTCGACTTCCGAGAGTGGAGACAATTTTATTGAGTGTATTAGTCTTTCTGCTTGGATGTTGTATCCTTCTCAGCCCAGGTTGGCCCTGACAGGGAGGGTCGGAAGCCGGCCTCCGAAACTGTTTGAATTGTGTCGAGGTCGGCGTAGAACACAAACACTTAAAAGCTGCTGTCAGTGTATTAGCATAGCAATCATTGACATACACACTTGCACGCGCGCGCACGCACACACACACACACACACACACACTCACACACACACACTCACTCACACACGTACACGCACGCACGCACGCCCGCACATACTAACAAACATACATACAATCTAACAAACACTCACACACACA